TAGAAAATGTAAAACAGTAATAAGATATGGAATAGAACACAAAAATGAGCATGAAATTGAGTTTGTATCTGTATGAAGAAGTGTAACCCGGCACCATGCTATTTTTTTAAAAAAATGTTTTATTTGTATTATGCTTTTGTGAAAACCCAAATAAAATTTTCAAAAAAATACTACCTGCTTTAACCATGTATGATGCGGACTGTTTGTTGGACTTTGTTTACCCGTTTACTGGAAGTAAAACCTACATTTTACTATTCAGTGTATCTGTGTGTTGGTTGTGTGTTATTCAACACCACTCTCACTACATTTCCCTGAGTGCACTCATTCTCCTAATGGGGAATACTTCAACAAGTACTTTTATTAATTTATCAGCTTGTTCAAGGCAACTGGGCAGATAAATTGCTTGGCTTGCTTTGTAACAATTGTCTCAGCTTTGACTGGTAAACAGATTTGCCAGGTTTCAATTTCTAAAAGTTGCTAGACTTGGAAGGAAAGCAGTATATATTGAAGGACTATATACAGATCCCAGAAATGCTGCAAACCATTTTCACTTGGCTTGCTGCAACCCCTTCTGCAACTCACCTTTTAAGGTGAGTTTTGTATTCTTCAAAAATGATAGTGCCCAGGACCAAATCTTCATTGCCTTTTTTATTTAGGGATAGATATATTCTAAATTATTTATCACAAAACTTGAGTCATTTATTAACCAGTTAATTACCTTTAATTAGCAATTATTGTTTATTAACCAATTCTAATCTGAAGCCATCGTTTAGAAACCTACTGAGTCTACACAAGGTTTTCCTGGGCCAGTGATCATGCACTTCTGATCTACTCCATTTTCTGTATTTGCAGAAACAGGGGCCATTTTCAAAGTGCCTGTAATGTATTGTGTCCCCTCCAAAAATGGCACTTGCCTCCAAGATGGAGCCATGCGGTCCAGCAACACCAAGGGACATAATGGTCTGCCCTTTTTCCTCACACGATTTCTGGAACTCATCTAAAGATAAATGTGCAATTGGTGATGGGGAGTGAGGAAGAGACTGTGGGACTCAGGACTTGAGGAACAGGAACCAGACCATTTGGTGCTTCAGTGGCTGGGGGAGGTCTTGGGAAGTCCAGGCCAGGTGGGTTGGGCTTGTTCTGGGCCTCCCAGAGACTTTCTCACCTGAGGCACTCCATGCTCAGCTTAATGCCTTGCACAGTCATTAATGACCTGTGTGCTCACTTAATAACCACACTGGAGAGAGCAGTATTCATCTCGCTTAAAGATATAGTTATAATGGGTAGGCTCCATTGTAGTTGTAGGTCGAGGACCACCTGCAGTTTATAAAAACAGGTTCCAGTTTTCTAACTGTGAAGGTTCTGGAGAAGCAAGAGATGAAGTTTCATATAAAGCCATTTCCTGAGTAAAAAAAAAAAAATTGGCAAAAGGAAAGGAAGGTGTCTCAGTCGTAGACAATATACCTTGGAAATAAATACAACATTTCCCTATTAGATAAAATGACTTAAGATCAACACAAAGCACTTTCACTTGTTTGTGAAATGCTCTTATTTATCTGTTTAAAAGCAAAAACAAATCAAATTGTTCAGATCAAGCTCAATTCCTGGTGACTTCAAAACACCTATGTAATTTTCCCAGGAGCAATATAGAAAAGTTTTTGTCTTTTTTTGAGATTTATAGCCGAAACTTTCCTGGTGGTCTCCTACCCAATTATTAATCTGATGTGGCCTGCATTGACTTTTCTTCAGCCAAAGTTGGTCAGGTAATACCTGATAAAATCACCTCTGATTCACACTTTAGGCATCTTACCCTTAAATAGTCAATTGTCTAGTTTATAGAATACTGTCCTGGCTTTTGAAGAAAAACAAACCTTTGAACCAATCATCCAAATGTTTTCTTGACAATAACCTTTGAAATTCAGAAACCCAGAGACATTTTTCTCAGATTTCATTCTTGGGATACTGGGATGTTATAACAAAATCATGGAATCTCTAGAGTGGAGTAAATAACTATTCATCGGATGCTGGGGCTCAGTCATTGATTCATCATAGCACATCATACAATATGATCTCAAAGCCAGTGGTTATGACCTGTTTTGATTCAGCAATGCCATCATGGGTCATAGCTTCTTGGATGAGAAGTGAAACATCTCCAAAGAAAATTCAGAAAGTCAAGTTGCCTCTTGAAAAAGCACCTTTGGGACAACCATGACCTGGATGACTCCATAGGCATATTTCATTCTGGTTCATCTAGGAATTTTTTAAATGTATGCATTTCATCTCCTGCTCCTATGTTCTGTCACTACAGTCCAATTTTGCAATTTATTACAAAAATGTTTGAAATTGCTGGTTTAAGTTTGTCCAGCTGGAATTCTAGTCTTCTGGCACTTCAAATGTAAAATATTACTGTTCCACTGAGCAAGGATATGTACAAAGCTCACAACAGCTCTTTTTATGCTGCTGTTTAGGAGTAAATGCTAGCAGCTGCCTTGGTTGGGATTTCTCGCCGGTGTATTTGTTTTTTAGTATCTTTAGTATCCTATTCCACCAAGCTAAAACAGAATCTTTTGTTTTGCTGTTTCCCACAGCTAATCAGTTCCAAGTTGCCCAAAACAACATAATTTTGGTGACTGAATCTGCAAACTTCTAGACTGCTGACAGAAATTTAGACAACTTAAAAGAGATTTTAAATATTTTTGAAGAAATCTTGTTTATAACAGTAGATTGACCCAAAGTAATTAATTTTTTAACCTGCCCTAGAAGTTACTGAAAGGAATGTGGGAGATTGGGAGCTGTTCTAAACAAGGGGAGGGGGGAGGGGGGAGAGAGAAACAAATCTGTTTTCATATTTAAGGGCAAAGGTTAGGATTAGGTTAATACAGTTCATACAGTTTTCCATAGAGCCCTATATAATAGCCTTTTGCAAAAATGTATTAAGAATAATCTGTAGCCAAGTTTTCTAAAACAGGTTTGGAGCAGTCAGTTGGTGTACCACCATATCTTTTCTGTTACTGATATTCTTGCGGTGGGGGAAGGGGAGAATCAGGAAACAAGACTTGTATGTTTTCATAGAGATAACGTAAACCACAAATGGCAAGTAATTCTGAAAATCTTAAAATTCTGATCTTTTTTTTTCAGGCACAGGTGCATTCGCAGCACTAATGAAAGGAAACATGGAAGCAATGTGTGCTGCTGTATCTCCTGCTTTAAGAAACAACTATGAGTGTTCAACACTCAACATTTGTATCAGTGCAGAAGTGCATCCTGATCATACGGTTTTTGACTGGGTGACATCATAATTAAGAAAAGGTAATGAAAGAGCGGTTACTGATTACTAGAAAGTAATTAACAGTAACCCTATTCTGAAAATATACTGTGTGGTATACTTGCCACATACTGTAGTTGAACTACTAACTCCCATGTAAAGGAACCCTCTATAAAGATATGCTGTGTCATCAGAACTGTCAATAGTTCATAAATACAGCACCACTACATGTTCTATGAACCTTCCTTGTCTTACACTCATGGGGACAGGTGTCAGCTATGCTTGGGGAGTACACATTCATGAAAATGTATCACCTGAATGGGACTTATGAACACTATAAAACTGCAATAATAAATGGTAGCCAGTGCTTATTATAGGAAAATGTAACAGAAACCACCTTTCAACGGTCTTTGCATATACAAAACAAAATTCCAATGAAGACTTTGTCTCCAGATTCTGTATAGTATCTATTGTTTGGCAGAGTAATCACGACAATGGTCACTTCTCAATCAGCTTCCCTGGAGATTTCAAGAGGGTGGAGCTTCAGCCTCCTTCTCTGCATGCATTGCATGACATGTTTGTGTCTGGAGACTTGAAGCACCACTACTGCAATCACTACCACCAAAACTTACTCACAGCACTCTTACTCTCATAATAGGTGAGATGCCTTCCTATCTTTTGAACATAAAGAGAAAGAGACCCTTATCCAAACAGTCTCTCTGTATCTTGATATACATACAATTTTTGCATCTATTATATTGTACTACCTAACAAGGGCAACTTTTCTCTGTCATGACGGTTCACTCCTCGGTCTTGAATGCTTTCTGTTCCACTTTCGCCTGTCACTTTCCCATCTCCCTCTACCTTCTTGAACATAGAAAAGCGTAGAAGGCTAAACAGATTCTTTGCATCTTCTTGGTGCATCCGTGCTTCTACCTCATCACTTTCCAAATGTGACTTCTCTCCTTGTCAATCAATGCCAAGAATTTCAAACATATCTTCTTCTACTCTGCTAACTTCACTAGTATGGGTAGCCATTCTGTAGGTTCTTTATCTCATATCAGAAGGTACTTTTCTCCCTCCAACTCCTCTAGACTTGCCTCAATTTTTTTTTAAAAAGCGTATGTCTTTATTTCATCTTCTATCCCTTCACCTCTCATGAATTATATTGTTCTATTTCCATCTTTTGGTCTTGACATACATCTATCATCTATCCTATCTCTTCCCTGAATTGTCTATTACTGTATATATGGATACAACCTGTGTTGTTGGCATGGTAAGATTTGTTTTTCTAAAATTGATCCTTATGTGTGAGTGCCCTCTTGTGGTCAAATTATTCTTATCTTATTTGTGATTTAGGTCTGCACTGGTACAAATGCTGTTGGGAATAAACTGGATTGAATTTATAAATTTTTCTTTCATGTAAATATATATAGTAAGATCAAGACATCAGTAACTTTAGTTTCAGTAACTCCTATTCTTAAGGTTATTAATTTTACAGGATAATAGGGGAAATAAATTTGAGAAGAATGTTTTGTGACTGACATCATCAATGATGAAAAAATAAAATCATACTGTAGTTGTGCATACCGCTTAAACATTTGAAGTATTTTCATTCAAGAATAAAAATTGAAACAGACACAGCTTAAGAACATATTTTTTTAAATGTATTTTGTAAATAAACAGTGACCACATTACTCAATACTAACTCTTCTACCACTGATTTCAAAAACAATTATTGTTTTGGTTCAGCACTTTTAGTCTCCTTCAACATTTCTTGCCAGTTTTTCTCCATTTCTTCCTTACAAGTGAGAAAGGCATCTTCCAGACGTCTCATTGAATTGGCCAAGTCTGGATTAGCACGCATTACCACCATATCATAAGCCATCCAAGTAGCCTGCACTGGGACAACCCAACAGATAAATTCAGTGATTCAATGGGTGAATTTGAATGGGATGAATGAGAAAGTAATAAAAAATAAACAATAACAGAACTGCCAATTCTATTTCCATTTTTTTTTCAAATATGTTATTTAAAGATGCAAGCCGATGCTTGCAAATTTTTGTATTATGCTACAGAAAATAGTTTATTTGTCTATTGTTTTCCATTTCCCTAATCCTCAGAGTAGTTCTGTGTCACAATTTTTAATTATAAAACTTCTTGTTTTGACTATGTGTGCATTCCTGATTACTTTTAACATGGACACTATGCTCTAATGTACAGATATGTAATAAACAAATTTGTTAAATAATTACCAGTAATCACACAATGTTGTTAGTCCATTAAAAACAGTAGTGTGAATGAATCAGGAATTTCTCCATAAAAAGGAAGTTAAAATCTCTTCCCTGAAATGCGTTCCTGATGAACACAGGAGTATGTCAACGGTTTTTTTTTTTACATAATCTGATTTATATTATCATAGTTGCTACATGTTTACAATGTCTTAGACCAAATTTTTATTTGTACAATGATATTTTAATGAGAGCAAAATCAGTCAAATGACTACCTGTTTAGCGACTATTTGAAATTACAACAGTACTGAAAAAATATGACCAGTCTTCATACTTATAATCATTGCAGTGTCCCTACAGTCACATGATTGAGATTTGGGTGCTTTGTAATTGGTGGGTATTGTCACAGCATTCTGCAATCACATGATCACCATTTGCACACTTCACAGCCAGCTTCTGACAAGCAGAGTCAAAAGAGAAGCTGGCAGTAAAATTGAAAGTTGTAGTTATGTGATGTCTTGATTAACGACTGTGGATAATTCACTTAATGACTGCAGTGGAAGTGAGATCCTAAGTCCATCAGGGTCATGTAATACAGTATTTTGCTTAGCAACCACATCACTTAGCCTTATTATTGGAGTTTTTCTTTCAGTTTTTTTAATGCATTAAACATTTCCAATAATACAATATTCTTTAATGAACTGGAAAACCTAATCTGGAAAGATGGATTTCAATACAGAGACATAATGAATTGAAGATATTCAATCTTTTCCCCCAACATATTATCTGCTTCCTTGACAACATGTTTTTAAAGGCCCTTAATACATACGCAACATTTTATATGGAAAGGCAGAAAAAAAATACCTGCCATGTTTAACCAAGATAAACAAAAATTTGCATTCTTTACTAGTGTGTTTATAATTGGGTCTGCACATTTACAAAATGGTGAAAATTCATATAAGAAATTATTTTAATTTAGTACTTTAAAAAATTCTTCTGAAAAATGAAAAATAATTATGGTACTTAAATATTTATGGAAATATACTTAAATGAGCAATTTTTCAGAAAAAGCAAAATAACAAAGTCCCTAAGAACAAACCACATTAAGCTTAATTCCATGAAATACTAATCTGCAGAAACAGATCAGGCTACATAAAACTGTTCTAGCATAAAAACCCATAGTTCTTAACTATATACTACATATGACCAGTGCTACCAAATGGGAATGCACATCCAACACAGTATCAAATTTAACAAGTTACTAATAAGCATTGTAATTCGAATGCACATCTACAAAAACTGCAGTAAATTCTTATTACTCTGAACTGACAATTCGTTAGCAATATATAAATACACTTCAGGAATATGTCACACCTGATAATTTTTCCATGTCTTCCAGAAGTTTTTCCAAATCCCTGTTCAAATCTTCAAGCATTTTTACCATGTTATCATAACTTCTTTCGCAGGGTTCACATTTAGCCATCTAATAGAAAAAAATGATATTAATAGTAATGCATGTGTGAACCTATATTTGATGCATGCAATAAAATGATAGTTTTAATATTTTTTAATATTCATTTTAAGCATTTTATCAAACCAGAATATTCCCAGCATAACTTAGAAACAATAAATAAAAATAGTTCTTGAGTGCAGACCCATCCAGGTTTCAGAGGGTGCTTGAGATTGTTCTTAAGTTTGGTTAAGGCCCTGGTCGCTACTTGAATATGGCAGTAGCGATGCCTTCAAACAGATCACACCATTGCACTCTTCTTGTGCATACTTTGACATGCTTCCTGGTTTCAGGAGGATCTTGGAAGGATCAAATTGCTAGGATTTGTTCCAAGTTAAAGTTTAGCTGGGCAAGTCCTATGGATTTGACTGAAGCTTGATCCTGGGTTATCTATAATTATTTTGATCCTAGTAGACTTGAGGAAATGAATAGAGTTCTTGATACTGTGGATACAGTACATGCAATTTTGATTCAAGCTCCTCCTGGTTGGTCAAGGCCAGGAAGATGGCACGTAGGTTGATCTGTCTAGTAGCAAATTCTTCCTTGAGAGAACGGATGGTCCTGATGCTTGAAACCGGCTATGGTCTATGCTCCTTTTTCAAGAAGAAATCATCACTGAATCCTGCATATCAGGACAATTTTCATCCAGTCTCCAACATTTTTCCTTGGAAAGGTCCTGAAGAAATGGATTATGTGAATCTTTTCCAATCAAATATAGTCCAGGTTACATTCATTCTATACTTTTTTTAACCTCTCAGCAGCCTCCAATTCCATTAACCATGGTAATCTTTTGGACTGACTTACTTGATTGAGTACTGTCCTGGAATGGTCTCCTCCTTCCTTCAGGTCCTGCTCCAACCAGTGTTGTTTGAAGGAGAGCAGTCTACCTCTAGGCCCCTGCTTTGTGGGGTACCGCAGGTGTTTTTCTCTCCTTTTTAACATTAGGTTGCAGTCTTACCACCACGCTTATGATATTCAAGTTTATATCTCCACCATAATTGCTATCAAGTGAAGCTAACAAGCTTTGTCACAGTTATAGAGGTTATGGGATCTGAATGGTGAACCACAGACTCCAGTCCAATCGTTCCAGGATTGAATAGCTGCCAGTTTTGGGGTCCTACAAAAACTGGAAAATGTTTAAACTTTGTCTTTGAGTGGGGTAGTCCTACGCCATTTGAATTTATTTGGAGACATGGGGGTCCTTCTGAATTCACAATTCCTATTGAAAGAGCAGGTAGCAACTGTGGTTGAAGGCATATTTGCAAAACTTTGCCTTATATATTAATTGTGCCTATTCCTGGAGCTGGGAGCCCTGTTCTCAATCATTCATGCCTTAGTCATCTCCTGTCAGCCTTCCCAGGTAGGACCAGACCAGACAGGAAACACAAGCAGATGAGCTCATTCTACTTTATTGTAAAGCAACGTGAACACAACCTTACAAATCTGAAAGTATAAATCTCCCACCATCTCCTTTACATCCTGAGAAACTAGGGAGGGTCCCTTCTGAGCCTTTTTCTCTGCCCATTATGCAGCTGCAAGCTATGCCCTCTCTTATCTGGCCATTCCCTAGGTAGCATTTCTTCATCTGCTCTCCAGGTCTTTCTCACATATGGATTATTGCAATGGATTGATATAGTCCAACCCTTTGCCCAATGCAGATATCAGTTATAATAATATTACTGATAAATGATCATGTGGTTCTGTTTAAATATTTCCAAAGAAAAAGTTCAGCATCATTCTTGAACAATTCTTACTATGTAGAAGTATTTCCTAATAATCAACCCAAGACTGCTGCCTTGTGAACACTGAACAGTGAACATATATCCACATTTTTGTCCTATCTCCTGTAACAATTCTTTTAACTCATTGCTCAGTTTGTCTCCTTCTCCTCAATAGAATTCCTCTGTGAAACACTTGTTTAATATGTAGGATAATCTTAATCTTTCCCAGTGTGAATGTTTATTCAGCACAATTGTTTTTATTCACATTCTTATCCAAAAATTTAAATAGCAAATGCTACTATTGCTTATACTGAAGTCTACTGAATCACTTAACTTTATTTTAAAATAAGTTAGATACTTGTTTTGATTAGTCAAAAATATCTTTGTCGAATAACCATTAATTTATTAGACAAATGAAACAGATTTCAGAATTTTAACGTAATTTCAAAACGAAAACCAAACAGGATATGATCCCTGTAGATCACAAAAAAATATGTCTCAAATACCACATTCCTTTAACTAGGTAGTCCTGGACTTTCAACTGGGTTAACAACTGTTGACAGTCACGATGGTCACAGAACCAAGCACTTCCAAGCACTTGTGCTACCTTCCTCCCCTCCTCCAGTTACAATCACATTTTGGACACCTGCCAACTTGTTTGGCAACCTGTTCACATTTACAACTAGTTGACAAGTGTGATTGCAATTTTCAATCTTCTCTGCCTGCTTCTGAGGAAAGTTGCTAACAAACGGGACAAAGGGTTTGACATGCCCACCCCCACCCAAGCACACTGAGGAATTTTACTCACCTTCATGCAAGGAGGGGAAACCCTCCCTCACTCTGGAGGAACCGAACTTTCTGAGCAGAGCCTTTCAGAAGGCCAGGTTCAATAGCATTTTTTCCTCCAGAGAGAAGGATTCCAGAATCCACCTCTTTTGCTAGCATCCTTCTTCTCACCTTTCTGGATATTGTGAAATCCTGAGGCTCAGAGCCTTTAGTATTTTCTCCTTGGAGGATAGTTGCAGTTTGCTTATAAGAAGCTTCCTAAGGCGGCCATCCAAACCATCTCAGGCCAAAGAAAATTGCCAAAAAAGGAGGGTTTTGCTACTATAGAAAGCTAAACCTGCAAGTTACCAAAGATGCTATTTCAAACATTTTAATGATCAAAGGTGGGGTCCCCAAACTCTTCAGTTCACTGACTTGTAAAAGTTTTTTGTAGGAAAATAATTAAATAAATTATACTTTAACTAACAGTAGTACAAATAATAGTACTGACCTTTGGTTAGTCCCATCAACCTTAGGGGTCAGGATTGATCATTTTGTGAAACCTTTTGTGGAATCTAAGGGCTCTTTCCACAACCATGCTGTAGTACTGTTTATATGTTTTTAAATCAGAATGTTATATCAGAATGAAATATGCTGCCCATTACTGTCCCTCTATTATACCTGTCCCAGATTAGCAAATACCAGACTTACACATTTTAAGGTTGAATAATATTAGAATAAAGAAGGAAATACTATTACAATACTTGTATAGCTAATGATTTATGCCTGTCTCACAGATAAATGGATGAGATAAAGTCATGGAAATGAGGTAGAAAAAAATATGCTGGCAGTACATATTTGTATCTTTTTGATATGTAAGTCTGGGTATATAGCCTATGTTCTGGTAGTTCCGTTATTCTTTGGTAGGAATTCTTCACACAGGGTTAATGCTAAAGACACCTCTCCTTTGGAGTGGCAAAATATTATCCGTACTAGAATCCTAGATCTTGTTCTTATTTTCTGTTTGTGAATACAAATACTTTTGTACACTACTGCCTGAATACTGTCAATACATTTTCCAAACACTGAATGATTTGTAAATAATTTGTAAATTGCTCCTTTAAAGCAATTGGAAAAAATGATATTGAACGCCCTTCACAACTGAAGGAATAGATTTTATAGTTTCAAGGTTGAAGTACATAACTATCCCACATGTATCAATGAATCTGAAATACTTAGGAATTATCTCATTAAGAGCAGTAATAAAGACATACAAACCTATTTATTGGACTTGATTAGATTGTTGATTGGAAGTGTGTCAAATGAAATACTCTGTTCTGGGTTTACTGTTCAAAATGCTATTTTAATGATGGAAACCTACTTTAAATGAAGCTATTTATTTTTAAGCCAAATCTGAATGTGGGTCATTCTCTATCCCAATTACTTGGAATTTGGCTGTGGTTTTACTTCATAAAAATTGTTCATAATATCATAACAAGTTTGGATTGTGTTTAGTGTATTTAAGTGAAGAGATATTGAACATGGCAACCTTCTAGACCACAAATGAAATATATAAAATATACATTGTACTTTGCAGCGTTTTGTCTCTACTACAAATATACAAGCAAAATACAAAAACAAAATCACAAAGTTTTGTATTACCTAAACAAAACTACTTTAATTCTGCAATGTCCTACTTATATATCAATATATTCACAATGAATTTAACGAATGTTTATTAAGCTTGCGTGTAATATAGCCACATTAATCTTAATATAGCCACATTAATCTTAACATTTAGTCAGAAGTCCATGGTATTCCATTTAATAGGACTTACATCCAAAGAAAGTTATGTTTAACATTGCTGAAATATAATTTATCATTCAGATATTTTTTTTACTTCAGTGGTATATACTTCTCAGCCGTCAAAAACATGTTTATCTGCAAGTAAACCGAAGTCGGAAAGATACAAATAGGTAACAGGATATTCATTCCACTGACCTTAGTTCTATGAAAATTATGTCGGATTGGGGTATAAATTAAACCAAGTCATTAGTATTTCCCGCCCTCATGAAGGATGAAACTATTTTTACGAAGGACTTTTAAAGAACCCTACGGGATAAACTGCTCGCCGCCCCCGTGATTGAGGAAGACTGGCTTAACGTAGTTCATTCCACTTATTATTTTTTTCAATACTTTTCACTGAGGTTTAACACACGCAACACACACGTACACACGAGACAGGAAGTAAATATTTTAGGAACGATAAGATATACTGGATCACCGGTTTTGGCGCTGAGTTAAGAAACGCGAACTTCCTCCAAGACTTCTCTCAACTACCGCCAAACTACTTGGCTAGAAAAACCAGACAGCGGGGAAACGCGGGACTTTGACAAAAAAAAAGTTTTTTTGTCCCCTTCGGTATCTCGGGAGGAGGATGGTGGTCCCTAGCAGCCCTTTCTCCTCTTCCACGATAACGATCTTCACACAGGGAAACGGTCGCAGCTACATTAAACCTAACTAGGGAGGGAGAGGGAGAGAGAGAGAGAGAGAGGCCGCCCTCAGTTTAGCCCTCCATTGCCTCCCGCCCCGGTTTCACAAACGGTTTCTAACGGCCTTCGCAACCAGGGTGAACTCGATCTGCTTCCCTTGAGCCGCCAGCATCAACCTCCCCGGGCCGACCTACCTTCTCACCCGCCATCCCTCCTCCACTTCCCCGGGGCTGCTGAGGCTGGACCTCGGCTTCGTCCGAAGAGAAAGGACGCCGCGCGGTTGGTGCGGGAGACGCCCCCACGCGCCTCTTTGCTCGGCTGCCGCAGCGGGAAGGTCCCTGGGCGTTCGTACCCGGTACTTCTGCCGACAACTTTCATCGGGCGTGTGATGTTAAAAAAAAAGAATTAATTAACTTTTCACGTACAGTAGGACGCTTATTGTCTCATCACGCACATGTTATATATAATTTTGTCTTTCAATTGAGAAAAAAAATATTTGTCCATTTTGCATCGAGCACTTGTGTTCTGATTTTATTTTATTTATTTATTGAATTTATATTGCCGCCTATTCACCCATGGTGACTCGAGGCGGCTTACAGAATGTAAAACCATATTTAATACAAAAAAAAACCCAATAAAAACTAATAAACAGAATCAAATAAATTAATAAAGTACAATAGAACAAAACCTGGAAAATAAATAAATAAAAATCACCCACCCCCCAACTCTCACCCCACCCCCCACCCCATGACAGCACATCACACTAGCCATTTGATGGGCTCCATCCCACTCTGGGTTCCCCAGGCAAAACCAGGTCTTCAGTGCCTTCCGGAAGAGTATTAGAGTGGGGGCCATTCTAATCTCTGGGGGAATGATTTTCCAGAGAGAGGGAGCCACCATGGAGAAGGCCCTTCTTCTGGGTCCCACCAGGTGCATCCCCCTCAGGGATGGGACCCACAGCATTCCCTGCCTCCTCACTGTAATGGGTCGAGTAGATGTGACCGGCAAGAGACAGTCCCTCAGATAACCATAAATTTTCCTCCTCTGGTGTTGATTTATAGTACTAGGTAGGTTTATGATAAAAAAAATCAAGGTTGGGTTTTAATTTAAGAAGAATATTTATTTTTGTAAAACTCATGGATGTTCAACCAATAGCACACAAAATATAAGTAAAATAAATTTAAAAGTTGAGTCTGAGTGTCCCTGAACTGCTCTCTGAGTCTCTTAAAGCAAAAATTGGGTTTTAGCAGAGATATAGTGAACTAACAGCCAGTCAAAAACTCTAGTTTGTATCTATTACATCAGAAGTCCCTAACCCCCAGTCTGTCAATTGTTTTGTACTGTAATTTTGAAAAATAATTGTTTTAAAAGAAAACAGGATAAAAAGAAGATTCAACGCCTATATGGCTGGTGCGAATTGCTTCTCCTCTTTGGCCCTTAGATAAATGGAGGCTGAAGGGCACCTGATGGTCACCTTCCTCCTGTTTGGAGGAATATCACTTGCTGTACCAATCAGGACTTCACTGGCTGAAGGCATAGAATAGCAGCAACAGTTTGAGATGTTTGGAAGCCTTTCTTTGTGAAAGATATGGTGGTGGCAGATCCTATTTTCAGGTGAAATGTTTGGACATAATAGAATGGCTATTCTTCCAAAAATAATGATGCATGTAATCTATGGGATGTATATTGAGTAGGCCTTTTCTAGGGAGACTTCACAAAAAGAGAACTTTTGTCTCTGGCCAATAAAGAGCACTTATTTTTCACACACACGCACACACACACACAAATCCCGCTTCTTCTGCTGCATTTGTGAGAATCCTAAAAACAGTTACTACCCAAAAAAACAGGTCCTCCTTGGTTGTGCACTGCTGACGCTCAAGGATGTTAATTCTTGGGGTATGATTGATTTGGTCAGTTAAATCATATAAGAGCCACTGGGTTTTTAAATGTGTAATGAGAACAGGGTCACTAGCAGAAATGGGTTACAGTAAGTCTCCTCAGTCAATGATGATAACCAAGTTCAGAGAACACTAAGAATTCAACATTCGATCTATAGTATTATTCAGTGCTCAGAATAATGTTTGACGTCATATGAGATGAATATCAGTTACATTAACAAACCCTGTCTGTTTTCAGGATCAAACTGTTGCTGCAGGAGGCTTCTGGAAATGCTGGAAGAGGCCACTTTTACAACCATTAAATCGATACATAAGCCAGTGGTGCAAAGAGCCATGGGAAGATACATGCTCCGCATTACAAGACAAGATAGAAAGACCTGCATATGGATTAGAGAACAAACACAAATATACAATATCATCAAGAGAGTGAAATAATTAAAATGGAAATGGGCTGGTCATATAGAAAACATTTATTTATAGTAGGATATAATATAAACCTGAGCTATTTACTGCATGCACATTGAACTTGTTCTCTAAGAGGTCAAGGCAGTATAAGTAGCAGTTTCCTAATTTTATTTCTACAAGAAACCTAGTTGGATTAAGAAAATGGTTAATCCAAAATCATTCATAGAACTCTGTGCTCGAATAGGGGTAGAATTCCAGTCTTCCCATTTCTTCCCATTTCATGTTAAATACATATGCATTGTAAGATGCAAATCTGAGTCCTCGGGACCACATACAATGGCTCCCCAGACCTAGATGTAGCCTTTATAGATCCTTCATATTTGCTGCTGAATTCTAAAATATTATGTCATGAAACTGAAAAAAATATGAAATACATAAAAGTGATCACATAAAGTATTTATTTAGATAATTTATGCATTGTCCAATCTTAACTTACAAGGGCATTCTCTTAAACAGCTCTCAAGGAACATTAAAGCTTTAAATAAAACAGCATTAAAGCATAATTAATATCAAACATACACACTAAAATAGTACCACATCCAAATGCATAACGAACATAAATGGAATCTGCTTGCTTGCAACGAGTTAGTGCATTCTGGGATAACAGATTAGACTTTCTTTCACTGAAGAAAGCTATCATATTCCCTTGTCCCCCCAATAATATGGACACCACTCTTGATGAGCCAAGAGGGACAATATGAAGGATCACATCAGGCATTAGGATCCACTAGGCAAATAAGCAAAGAATGGGGGGAGTGGAGTATGAATTTTGGGAATGTAAATCAGCATATTTTTTAAAAAAAGGAGAAATATAAAGAAAAGTTTAGGGACTCGGAGAACTCAGAGCAATTCTGAAAAGCAGAAAATTTTGGGACTTGGGCTACCAGGAAAAAAAGGGGCAGGAGAAAGTATGCAGAGCTTTCTGTTTTCTTTTTCTTGTTTTCCATTTCTCTTCAGCCAATTCTCTATCTCCTGGTCTCTACAAATGTAGACTCTGATGTCAGAGGTAATGAAATACAAAATAAGCAGCAAAATAAAAATAACGGGGGATCCAATGTCAACAAATGAATATTTTTTTCCTTCAGTTAAAGTGCTGTGTAAATCTTTGACATAGTGTTTGAGGAAATTTTTCAGTCAGAGCTTTCTAGTGGTTAAGAAGGTTGAATTGAGAGAACTGATGGTGAAAGTGAAAACTGAACCCAAGTAATATACTGCATACTTTTTATTGCAATAATTGAGGAAGAACCCAAACAATTAATTAAACCTTGGGTCTAACATATTCATGTTCTACCATAAAAAATAAGAACATTTAAAGTTTTAATGTGTCTAAAGTGTGAAAGAATACTCCATTACAATGTATCTTTTAGATCTGATAGCCATTCCTTCTTTGATGCTCTCTGAACTTATATTAAAATAAGAGCAAACCCCAGTCCCTACTTGCACTGATGATGTTACCTAGTTTGATAATGAAATGTCTGCACGAAAACCACCAAGCTCAGAGGACCCCACAGTTCAACCCTGAATTACAAATATTATCTTCTATTGATACCTTCCACTATCTTACCTAAGACTTTAATAAAAATATTAATGAGTAAAGAGGTCCAGAATTGAAGCTTTTGGCACCTCACCCCACTTGATTCTTCATTCTACTTACGTTATGTAAAAAATAAAGATATGTCTACCCCATTTTCCACAATCAATTAAACAAATAATCTAATAAAAAAGTAAATAATCAAGAAGAAGTCTAGCAAGACTTCTTGAGAAATCTATGCTGACCAATGTTATCAAACTGTTTTATAGAAGACCCTCTTCTCAGAGCTAAAGTAATTTTATTCCAATGCGCATTTGGCCGTTCAATTGGGTTAGTTTAGTTTTAAGTACACTTAATTATATCTATTAATGGTTTTAATAATGCTGTTTTATATTTATTTATTAAATGTCCAATCATAGACCAAAACAGCAATAAGAATTTAAATAAACCAGATAAAATAAGCAGATTAAAAAACCTGCAGGAAAGAGGAAAAAATAGTTAACAGCACTATTGTAGATAATATTCATAAACAAAAAAGTCCTCTAGAACTTCTAGAGTCAATGTAGGAACCAAACATTATAAAATTAGAGCACAGTATATTATCCTGACCAATCAGCAAACTATAAAAAAAAACCTTGTTAACCTATTAAAACAGACTATACAGCTCATTTCAAAGAATCCCAAATGCTTTGACATGTGCTTTCAGAAATCAGTGCAGTCTTCTTGAAATTTCTTGGAACCAGGTCCACATCCATGTCTGCATTTAAATGTGGAGACCAAATTCTCTTCTGTTTGTTCCTGACATATAAGCATGCTTGTAAGCAAAATAGGATCCCGTTTATGTTCCACTTCATAAAAAGGGCACGTTTTCAAGTGTACAGCTATGGAAGCAATATCGCTGAGTTGCCACCTATCGATAGTGGAGAACAGGGTGCTAAATTTCCAGATCTAGAAAAAGAGATGAACAAAAGAGAGTAAGAAAATATCAGTATTGTGATAGTAAGATCTTGCAAATAGCTCTTCCCTATATGAACCAAAGGAAAGTATGGACAATATTTGTATATTAATTATTTCAATAACTTTGAAAACAGGAAAGTGTTTTTTATTCATTAAATTTATGTGGCCACCGATCACATTGAAAGAATAAATACTCTCTGATTTTTTAAAAAATGAAAGATAGTATCAATTATAGGAATTAAATACTTCTTTGATTTTAACAAAATATTTAATGATGTGCTTTAGGTCAAAACACTAAAAATCCAGCATCTATTTTTTTTTTTAGATGTTGAAAAAGCATTTTATATGATTTCTTTAAAACTCTTGGACAAGTACTGGTTAACAAGGACATCCACAGTTTTGTAGTCTGCATTGATTTTTTTTAAACCTCTAAGTCATATGTTACTACCTTTTTTAAAGAGTATTTCAGAATGTTTTTAGTCAAACACCAGATGTTCACTATTGTGCTTGTCAGGAAAACTATGCTATCTGTGGTATCTGTTGATAAATAAAATATTCTCTATAGGAGGAAATATTTTTTATTTTAATGTGATTCCTAGGCCCATTTTTGATCTATGTAGTTACCATCTGAAGTTGATATAACAAGTTGTTGGTTAAATGCTTTAATTGAGATGGTTGGAAATTATAGTAAAATTTCTAGATAACTTTAGCTATGGATGTGGTATGGGTACAGATGTTAATATACTTCTTATTTGAATGTTCTTGTTTCCCTGATTCAAATACAAAATATATAATTCTTTGGATTCATGGAGGATCTAAATAAAATCCAACTTAGAACTAAACAGAAATTTCCTGACAGTGAGAACAATTAATCCAGAGGTCTCCCCGGTCTATGGACCAACACCGATCCACGGCATGCCAGAAACTGGTCCATGCAAACAAGCAAAGCCCCATCTGCGGGATGTAGGCAGCACATGAAACCACCCCTCCTCTGGTCTGCAGAAAACCTCTCTCCATGGAACCAGTCCCAGGTGCCCACTGAGGGGCCATTGAATTAACCAACGGAACGACTTACCTCCCAGAGCTATGGATGTTCTATTACTAAAGGTTTTCAAGAAAAGATTAGAAGCCATTTGTCTAAGATGGAATAAAGTATCCTGCTTGGACAGGAGATTAGACAAAAAGACCTCCAAGGTCCCTTCCAGCCCTATGATTCTATGATCTTTCCTATAGATGTTATCACCTAGCCAGGTTCGCAATAGGATATATTGTCCCTCAAATTGTCAATGTCTAAGTCATTTCATGTTTCAGGATTAACTGTAATGCACTGTTCTACCTGTGACAAAATTGATAATCAATATGGACCTCCAATTATAAAATCCTTGAACTTTGCATTGTTAACTGCCTAGTTGCCTCATTTTACACCAGTGGTAAGTTCTGACACATGTAAAAACAGTCCTACATATTGTACACTCTAATAATCCGAAGATGTAACCAAAGCATAGTCTTGACTCTTTCAGGGACTTTTGTAGCTGGTACTATAGTCATAATTACATAAAGATGCTCTTCGCTCAGCTGCTAATTATGTTCAGTGAGAGATAACAATCAAAGTGCATTGCCATATTACATATCTATTATTTCTGAGATAATATAACATCACACAAAATACTCAGTCTCCATGTACAGCTTCTACTGACTAACACCAATCCATCTTGTCTGGATTTAATTTCAGCTTTCTTTTTCCTAGCCCATGATTATGGGAAACTTTAACTTGGCTCCTGTCTGGGAGAGAATCAGTGACAACACAGACATTCATGGTCAAGTCACATTTTAGATCTAGTTTAGAGAGATGCAAAATACTTTAGACTGGGGGACATCTCGAAGGAAGTAGTGATTTACCCTTTTTCCATGAAGCCATCATTTGCCCTTTATAAAGAAGGTTGTTGAGAATTTGTTAGACTTCCAGTTGCAGAGAGCCCTGGAAGAAATGACCTGGATATTTTTAAAATCTAATTGCTATGAAGTTGCTGATCCATTGTTTATTCTTTGAGCAGGAATTTTGAATTTGAATTTAAAGTACTTAGCTTGCATCCAGTAATGATCCACAGTATAACTACGTGATTGGAGGTTCTATGGGCCTATCACACTTGGCACATTTTGTATTTTGTCATACATTTAAATTGCTAAAATTTTACATAGCATTGGAAATATTAAAGATTGATAGAATTGCTTTTTCTAGCAATGCTAATGCCGTTTTATTTGCCAGAGGCATCATGTCAGTGCTCCAAAGGCTGAGGCAACCTGGCTGATTGGATTGTTTATACCAGAAGCAACTGCTTTCTGTTTTTGGATAAATGAACCAGGATATTGAAATTGTTCAGCTTGCTCAATCTGAACTCCATTAAAGTGGCCTGAGAGTCCTCAGTTATGAATATTTTGGTCTTGTTGGTATTAATGGTTAAGCCATGAGGATCAGCAGTTCTTACATCAAACAGAATGTTGTAGGCTTCTCTTTCAATCTCTCTTTCAATTAAAAATAATTCCTGTCAGCAAACATGAAATCTATGATAAATTCCTTGTCCAAATTTTATATTACAATGAGTAGCAAAGACTTTTCACATTATTGCATCTATCAGAGTTGAGCAGCAAGGAATATGCAGTGCATACTTGTTTCATACCTGCATATACAGTGCAGGGAAGCCTCTGGACATTTTGCCATTAACACAATGAGAACATTGTGATCCTCTATACCTCCTGCAGGAACCTACTCTTTTAGCAAGCACATCTTTGGCAGTGAGTGTTTTTTAGGGTGTTGGTTGACTTGATTCCGTTAAATGCTACACAGCAGTGAGCCTCTTTCTATACTTGATGTGCTCCACAAACAAGTGTACAAATATTTGGTAATAACATCTTATTTCTTCTGAAGCTGGTTGTTCTCTTATTTCTTCTGAAGCTGGTTCTATTATTTTGTGATACTTTTACTGGTTTATTTTCATTAGTCCCTTGCCCACAACTGATAATAGGCTAAATTATTCATGTACTCCTGGGTGCAAAGTAATTGATTATAATCCATATTTTATGACTAAACATAGGGTTGTAACTTAGTAAGAGTTGGTTGAGATTCATATAAGCCTAGTAAAACCAATCAGTCAGCCTATCCTCATTATGATTGTACCATGGACAATTTAGTTGCATATACTGCAGGAAAAAAATGAAATAAAACCTACATTCTTATCAATATCTGTATTCATTTAATTTTTTCTATATGTTTGGATGATTCCTTTCTCAAGAAAAAAATAGAATGAACGAATAAAATAGTATCACCTTATAGTATATTTCTAACACCCAATTAAACATTACATTATTTACAGTATTAAATGAGAATATTCACAACAAAACAATTTGTAGTACTTCATAGCAAATGTGAAGTTTGTGTCATGCATATTATGAAATGTTACTGTGACCTGATATAAGCTCACTTATAAATTTAAGTGAACATAAGGTAACATAAAAAAACAAATAAATTAAAAATAACCTTTATAATAAAGCAAAGTTTAGAAATTTTGGGTACTTAGCAAAATGGCAGCTTTTGAGATTGGATACCAGTACTCGTAGAGGGTGATTATATGCCTGTCTAGTTAAAATGAATTATATGTATTTTGATTATTCATTTATTTTATTTATTTTTATTTGATTTGATTTGTCGATTGCTTACAAGATAATAGGTATAAGTAAAAACATAGTTATGAATACATGGATACATATAAGAAAGATAAAAAAACAATAGGACAGGGACAGTAGGCACATTGGTGCACTTATGCATGCCCCCTACAGGCCTCTTCGGAAAGGGGTGAGGTCAATAGTAGAAAGTCTAAGGTTAAAGTTTTTGGGGTTTAGGGAAGAAACCACAGAGTCAGGTAGAGTATTCCAGACATTGACCACTCTGTTGCTGAAGTCGTATTTCCTGCAATCAAGTTTGGTGCAGTTAACCTTGAGTTGGTATCTATTGTGTGCTCTTGCGTTGTTATGGTTGAAGCTGAAGTATTCATTGACAGGTAGGACATTGCAATGTATGATTTTATATGCCATACTTAGATCAGACCGAAGACGGTGTAATTCAAGGTTTTCTAGGTCTAGAATTTCAAGTCTGGTGGCATAAGGTATTTATGTTTTATAGGCATAAAACATAAAGGATATGGATTCACAATCTTTGTTCAAACATAGTATTTATAATAATATATGATTAAACTTCAGTGGAACTCTTGTTAAAGAGGTAGACTTGACAGTAAACTGCTGTTATATTCATGCATATGTCTACCTAGTTTTTTTGAAAGCATTATGTAAGTGACTTATGCCATTGACTTCTTTAAGGGAGGTTGGTTTTTTTTTAATATTCCAAGGCTATTTATCACTAGTATTTCCTGGGGGTCCCCCATTTAAGCACAACCTGATCAGATCCTACTTAGCTTTTAAAGATAAATCAGGGTTGAACAGGTTTTGCTACTTAGCTCAATGGAGCTGTTATCACAATGTTTTATCAGTTAGTTACATAATTTCTATTTTCATTTATCAAATTTTTAAATCGCACATGTCCCTCACAAAGGCAAGCAATTTTAAAAGGCAAGGGAACAACGCAGCCTCATGCAGTGTGCTCACAGTTAAGCAATACATAACTGTTTGTCACTGAGATAAAAAAAATGGAGCTTGGAATCTAATGTTATATGGCAAAGAGGAATTGGGGGCTATGGTTTGGCCAATTATTTAGAAATTTGTCATTTGGAAACTCTGACCTTTCATTTGAGAAGTTTAAGTCAAATTCTATAATCATGCAATTCTGCTTGTCACAGGATTGTTTAAACTGTAGTATGTTCATGTTTAACTAAAATTACAGGTAGTCCTTGACTTATGACTACAACTGAGCCCAAAATTTCTGTTGCTAAGTGAGACATTTCTTAAGTGAGTTTTGCCCCACTTTACAATCTTTCTTGCCATAAGTTGTTAAGTGAATCCCTGCAGTTGTTCAGTTAGTAACCTGGTTGTTAAGTATATCTGGCTTCCCCATTGACTTTGCTTGTCAGAAAGGTGATCTCATGACCCAGGACATTGCAAGTCATAAATATCAGTTAATTGCCAAGTGCCTGAATTTTGAACACATGACGATGGAGATGAGGCAAATGTTGTAAATGTGAAAAATAGTCATAAGTTACTTTTTTCAGTACCATTGTAACTTTGGACAGTCACTAAATGAGTAAGTTGAGGACTACCTGCACTTTGTAATGCTAAAATATGCATAACTTAGAAGCCAAATATAAATATCCCCCTGTCCTTCTATTTGGATAATTCTGCTGTACTTGTCAGCTTGGAAGCCATTTTTCTTTGAGGCTTCTGGGCTGCCACATTCAGTCCCTGGGAATTTGGGAGGGGGGATTTCAAAGGAATGGTGGAAGATTAGCCACAACAACATTCCTTTCTCAGAAAGTCAAGAACATGTTACCCTGCACCTGGAGGGGAGTGACTGGGAATAGTTTCCAGTTGGAACAAAGTGAGAATTAGACAATGTGATGGACAATTGGGTGCAAGGGTTGGATTTGGGGGTTTTGGGGGGTTAGGGAAAACCTGGAACTCTCAAATACTTGGAATGCTGATAGTACTTTTGGTGCCCCCAGGGCTTACCTTTCCACAGACTCTCCATGATGTTCTTCCATGAGAATATCTTTTCTTTTTCCATAGCAGAAAAACCATTCCTCTTTCATGGAGCAGAGTAGCACAGATATCCCTCATCTGTACTGACACCTGAGCCAGCTGAGACAAGCTAACACTATCCAAAAATCCAGCAATGTATTTCAGAATCTCCAAGGGAAGACTAGTTAGAGCAATCCTTTCAATCCTTTGTCTACTTCTTATACTTTTCTTGGCTTCTGAGAGCACAGGATCAATCTCTGGCTTAACAGCAAACGCCATGAGGTGCTGATTGTAGATAACATTTGTCTTTTGCTCAGAAGGATGCCAAGGATATTGAACAAAAGTGCATCCCAAATAGGCAAGTGGGCAGCGACGCTGGAACCACCCATCTAGGGAAGACTGGATATCTGCATGAACATTCTTGAAATGTGAAGAAAATTCATCTCTCCTAAAAAAGTGGTTGCAAGAGAATGTAAATGCAGAGCTGCTTTTGTTGTATCTTTGGGTAACACTCTCACTATGGAGCTGTAGATGGAGGTCTGGTGGGTCTTTTGTATCCAAAATATCTGCTAGAACAGTTTTTGAAGAAAAAGGTTGGGCAACAAAGCTGTATGTTTGAGTCCCGATATCCACATATAAGGCATCAGTGGACTTTGTTTTAGATATCTCATGACCTTTTAGTTCCTTCTCAAGAGCGCACAACAGTGTAGTTTTTATTGTGTTTGATTTGGGAAGTTCTTCAACACTTATGTCCAACTCTGAAGTATCCAGGGATATGCTCTTACCTGGCTTTTTATGTGCCACAGGATCCCCAAGCTTTGCTCTTTTGCCACAGTAACTAAGTGGTGGTCTGAAGGTGGTCTCAGTTTTCAGTTCCTGAGCTTCCAGGTTTCCATATACAAAGTCTTTTTCTCTGGGAGTGCAAGCAGGCATCTGACCAAAATGTATGAGCATCCTTCCATGGTGCACCAAGTACATGTTATACTCCCCAACAGGAACTTCATTCTTCAGTCTCTCTAGCACTCCATCTTGCCATGGAGCCAACCCTGTTTTTTCAGCTGCTAAATTGATTTGATGGATTTTGTTTTTTTCAGTGCCTTCTGTACCGCTGCTTTCTGCCACAGTGCTACCAGAATCATGTTCTTTACATGGAGATCCACTTTCAGATGCATTTTTTGTATTTCTGGTTGACAGGTCTGATTCCTGGCATGCTTTAAATTCTTTACTAAACATAGTTTCCCAGCTTTTGTAACCAATCAAGTCCACCCCTTCTTTAGTTTTCGCCAGATTTTCAAGTTCCTGCTGGGTGAGCACAGCTGCCTCAGCTTCATTTGTGGTGCTCTGTTCAGCAATTCCTCCAACAGCTTTTTCTTCAAAGTAGTCAATATCATCTGTTGTTTCTTCCAGGGTACAAGCCCCTCTGCATTCTGGGAAAAGCTCAGCCATTTTGAGTGCTTTAAAGAGAGCTGCCTGATCTCTCAGAGCTATGGCTACATCCAGGCACTCTTCCTTGGGCTGTTGCTTCATAATGTTCTCATGAAGAATGGCTTCAGAATCTGTACATGGCCAACGGTTCCATTCCATAGAACAGGAAACTATGCTGGCAGGGCAAACTTGGAGATGTTTTGCCACTTTAAAACGGGCCATTGTAAAAGGGCAGCCATAAATAGAATTAAGGCATGAAACTTGTTCCAGGGGACACAGGAGTTTATGATCATCCTCTTTGCACATATGAAAAACAGCACCACAGTGAGAGTGGCAACTGATCACCACACATGAGACTGAAGGCTCTGCTGGAGCTTGGCAGTATTTGTTGAAACACTTCTCACAGTGCTTATGTAGTCCAAGTGGAGTCCGCCGCCTGCTAATCTAAAAGAAGGCAGGGGGAAAAAAGAAAAGCAAGTATTCAAAGCATTTAGGAACACTGAAACAATGTTTATAGCTAAAAGAATTCTGCCTGCTGAAATGTAAATGAAATGTTTTACACAAAAAAAGATTTGGCAGATAACCAGCCATTTTCAAAATAACGATGAGATATAGCTACAACTCTGCAAATTTTTAATATAAAAATCAAGTAACTATTCATCCATAACCAATAAGAAAATTACAACTGTCTGAATCATCACAAAACATGAATCCTGAACCTACAGTGAAATTAGAATAGAATAAAATAGAAATGTTATTGTCACTTTAAATGTACACTAATCAGCATACATTAAAATGAAATTTCGTTGAATTCAGCTTTCAAAAGATAACCATTATGTATATACACACATATATAAGACACAGAGAAATATCAAAGTCTACTTCAAATGTATACATGTGAATGGTGAAAAAAAAGAATCCTGAAAATTTACAATCAGGAACAAAGCTGTTAAAAAATCTTGTAGTCTTGCTATAAATATCTCCTCCCAGAGGGAGCTACAGACTGTGAAGTGGGTGTTTGGAGTTTCTAACAATACTTTGAGCTCTAAGCACATAGCATTTGTAAACAGTATCCTGAATAATTGGAAGCAAGCTTCCTACAATCTTCTCAGCTGTCCTTACTATTCTCTGTATGGACTTTCTATCTGAGGCACTGCTACCACCAAATAAATTGATGCACTTGTTAAAATGTTCTCAATCATTCCTCTGTAAAAAGTAGCAAGGACAGAAAGAGAAAGATGTGTTCTCCTCATCCAACACAGGGAATGCAGATGCTGGTTTGCATGCTTCCCTAAGGATGACATGTGGAGAAACCAGTTCAGAGACCAGTTAGTTATCTGTACCCCAAGATACTTAATACTACTGACCACTTCCACAGCTGATACAAAGCCTTGATACAAAGTGGAATATGACTATGCCGCTCTTTTTAAAATCAACCATGATCTCCTTTGTTTTGTTCACATTCAAAATTGGGTTATTTTTATTGTACCAGTCCACCAAAGCCTTCACCTCCTCCCTATAAGAATCTTCATTGTCATCCTGGATAAGCCCCACCACTGCTGTATGGTTCGCATACTTCACAATATGATTCATAGTAGACCTGACACAGCATTTAGGGTCATCAAGGTGAACAGTAACAAATTCACAGCCGTGTGGGGAACCTATACTCAAGGAGATGGAATTGGAACTTTCCTTCCAACTTGCACAAACTGGGGCCCATCAATAAGGAAATCAAGTATCCAGTTACATAAAGAAGTATTAAAACCTAATAGGCCCAGTTTGTTCACCAAATGCTGAGGAATGATTGTGTTGAACACCAAACCAAAGTCAACAAACAGCATTTGCACATGAGAATTCTTCTCCAAGTGTGTCAAACTAAGATGAAGCATGCAAGAAAGTGCATCATCTATAGAGCGGTTCTTCTGATAAGCACACTGTAATGTGTCAAATGTAGGGGGAAGGCATGAAACAATATACGGTAGTCCTTTAACGATCACTCAAAACACTTCATCATAATGGAAGTGAGAGCAACTGGACAGTAATTATTTAGGCATGTAATTATATTTTTGGGGGGAGACTGGTACAATGATAGCAGTCTTAAAATATGATGTAATCAAGGCCTGACGCTGTGAAAGATTGAACATATCTGTAAGAACAGAGGCTAGCTGGTCAGCACATACCTTAAGTATTTGCCCAGGTGCTGAAATTTATTTCCCCATTACCCAAAGCTACTTTCTCTTTTAAATGTGGTTGTCCGCCTACAATCAGAGAAGAAGCAACCAGTGTTTGACCAACATTTAATTGGAGAAATAAAGCCTAAACTGAACCTGGAAATATATTACAGTTAATCCTTGACTTAGTAGCACAATTGAGCCCAACATTTCCATTGTTAAGCAAAGCAGTTGTTGGGTTATGCCCCATTGTAACCTTTTTGCCACAGTTGATGAGCAAATCACTGAAGTTAAGTGAATCCAGCTGTTGTTAAGCAAATCTGACTTATCCCATTGACATTGCATGTTGGAAGCCAGGTGGCAAGGTTACAAATGGTGATCACATGGCTTTAGTACAGTGCAACTCTCATAAGTTCCTGCCAGTTGCCAAGCACCCAAATTTGATCACATGACCATGAGGATACTGCAACAGTCATAAGTGTGAAAACTGGTCATAGGTCACTTTTTTCAGTGCCATTATAACTTTGAACAGTTTGTGATCTATTTTCTGTTTTTCTTCTCTACATAGCACTTAGACAAAAAAAATCAACAAGTAGTCCTTAATGGTATTACATCTACATGGAGGGAAGCAAGCAGTGGGGTGCCACAAGGTTCTGTCTTAGGCCCAGTACTCTTCAATATCTTCATAAATGACCTAGATAAGGGAATAGAAGGAGAACTTAGCAAATTTTCAGATGATACTCAGCTGGCAGGAATAGCCAATAACCTGGACAGATCAATCTTGACAGACTTGAACACCGGACCCCATCTAACAAAATGAAATTCAATGTAAAGAAAGGTCTTACACTTAGGCAAGAAAAACCAAAAGTACACATATATACTGGGTGAAATCAGGCTTAATAGCAGTAACTGTGAGTGGGATCTTAGAGTCTTAGTGGACAACCAATTAAATACGAGCCAACAGTGAGTGGTGGTAGCCAAAAAAGCCAATGCAATCCTAAATTGCATTAACAGAAAGGAATACAATCAAGATCGAGTGAGGTACTAATACCAGTCTATAAAGTCTTAGGAAGACCACACCTACAATACTGCATCCAGTTTTGGTCACCATGCTATAAAAAGATATTGAGTCTCTAGAAAGAGTGCAGAGAAGAGCAACAAAGATGATTAGGGGATTGGAGACTAAAACATAAGATGAACGGTTGCAGGAACTGGGCATGGCTAGTCTAGTGAAGAGAAGGATCAGGATAGACAGGATAGACATGATAGCAGTGTTCCAATATTTGAGGGGTTGCCACAGAGAGGAAGGGGTCAAGCTATTTTCCAAAGCACCTGAAGGTCAGACAAGGAATAATGGATGGAAACTGAACAAGAAGAGATTCACCTGGAAATAAGAAGAAATTTTCTAACAGTGAGAGCAATCAGCCAATGGAACAGCTTGCCTTCAGAAGTTGTGGGAATTTTATCCCTAGAAGCTTTCAAGAAGAGACTGGACAGTCATCTTTCAGAAATGGTGTAGGCTTTCCTGCTTGGGTGGAGGGTTGGACTAGATGACCTACAAGGTCCCTTCCAAATCTGTTAATCTCTTAAAAATCACTGCTGCAAGTGTACTAATATGTAGATGGACTGTTTGAATATACCAGTGGATAATTTGGGAAGAAAAAAGGAATAAGCAAAAAACAAGGAGATAAGAAGAAAGCAAGAAAATGTCTTAATTGTCTTCTTAACAGATTAAGCAACTTGAAACAGGTTATTTACATTAATTACATTAATTTGCATTCTTTTACTGAGTAGGGAATTGAGATTTAGACATAAAATTTCAAATTATAGAAATTTGCTCATTTCTACATCTAATTGTTTAACTATAGTTGAGGACTTCCAGAGTTGCTTAAATGACTGGCCATATAGATTTTTTTAAACAATTTATACTCATCAGCACAAAAAGCAATTAGCATCAGATAGCTATTTCCTATAAAAACAGGGTTATGAAATTATTGAACTATCAATTTAAGCAATATTCAAGGATACCAAGTGCTTTTAGAGCTTATTATTGATTTAATTATTGGATTAATATCCCATTTCTTCATTTGGGAAGTAGAGAAAATAAGAAGCTGAGAAACAGAAATTTAACAGAAGCCCGCTCATCATTCATAACATGGTTTTTTGTTTCTGTATGAAAATGGCCATTGTAGTTCATTTAATAAACCAGAGAAACAAACATGATTTAGCAGACTATGCCAACTCAGTTAACATTTGAGAGACTTTACCTGCTGGCAATTATTATAGAGAACCATTATTAGATCACCACCTCAAACAAAACTGAAGGGTAAATGACACTAACAAAAAAACACATGTTTTCTTTATAACTATTATTTTTCAAATGTACCTACCATAGTTCCAGTCAGTTGTCTTTGATGTCTCTGGAAGAAAAATTAAAATAGTTAATCAAAAGAGATCAGCTCCTTCCTGAAATTTAAAATGAGATGTGTGATACTGCATTTAAAGAGATACTATTGAAAAGCAATACCAAAAGTATGGTTTTAATGCCATTAGCTTACAGATTGTATTTGACATTTTATTATTAGAATAAAAGGAGAAGGATAAAAGATAAATTTACCAGAATTCCTAGGATGGCTTGAGAGTCTATTCCCCTTGAAAATTATACCTATTCCTTGCATCATTAGGCAGGGCCCAACAGTTGTGCATGTCAACACTTAAACAGCAATTAATATAATTTGGGCAGGGGCAGTTAACACAGTAATAATGAATCCCTACTTTCTCCCAGTCAAGACCAACAGTAGAATAAAGAAGGAATTTTGAGCCAACCAGATCCATATATATATTTTGTAATGTCGCCCTATTAGTGATTACATGTTTTTGGTAAATCAAAGTGAATGTGGGTCTCCTCATTCTTAATACTATGATATTGCAATAGATTGACTATAAGAAACATTTACTTTTCCTCCTAGAAGCAGAAAAGCCACATATTCTGACATACAGTAAACTCTTCAATGCTATTAGTTAGCTACATAATGAGTTTACAACTTCTTCCATAGTATAACTGATGCTTTCAATGCTAGGATTACTAGGAGTAAAACTAATTAATTGATTTAAACCCAGAGACAAAAATGCAACTGACTATCCATTGTTCATGTTTCTGTATTTAAAAAGATATGCAACATTTAAGATATGCAATATGAAATAATTTGCATATACGATATGTAAAAAATATGCAATATGTAAATGGACTCCTCTCAGAAATTTTCATGCTATTCAACATATGATTAAGTATAACTGACTTTGTGATCATGTCCATACTGAAGATGGAAAGCTTCACCAGATGACATTCTCATTATTATTAGCCATTAAGGTTTGAGCACTTTTAAAAAGGTTGCTATTTCAGATTATGATATTGTTACTAAGTCAGTTTGACAAAAAGAAGTAAGTGAGATTGCATTTGCATAATAGTAATATAAACAAATATTTACTTTTCCAAATAAATACTTTTCAGGTGAATTATTTCAAAATATTGTTTGAAATTTAAACAACATATGAGACTCCTTTTTTTACATATTTCCATAGATAAGAGAGTATGTGAGATTTATTTCAACTAGTTGACTTGATAATTTATCAAATGCTCATACTATATCAACTAATTTTATGTACGACTTTGATAATTATCAATCAGATATATATTATCAGCATGCAATAATATGTGTTGAATGCCAGTTCCTTTTGTATTCAGAATATCCTTCAATTTTCATTAAGACAGGTCAATAGTCCCCAAACCTAATTTACTATAGGAGGAGATGAAAATAATCCTTGATGAATTCCACAAGGCATCCTGACAGATGAGGAAATAATTCATTTTGTAATATTCTTGGCTCAAATATTAATATAGCACATCTTAATGCAGTGAGTAAAAAAGGCAGCTGTTAAATTAAGATTTGTTCTGAAAATTTAAATTATTTTGATATCTCAGATATTCTGTACCAAGTTATAATGATCTCAGTTTTTCTTCTCTGATGGACCAGTCAACTAAAGGGTGGGATGCTAAAAAATATGTCAGGAATAAATCTGAATTGAAAAAAACAAATTCTTGTTGCAAAGAATTTAACTACCAAATCAAACTTTAGTCCTTACACTTATAGCATTTTCCATGTAGGGGAATTAAAAATTAGTTGAAATTGTCTTATAGTCCAAAAAAAGAAAAATTTCCAGCTATAATTACCTGATCCATAACTACTACTCTAAAAATATTTAAAATATGTATATAAAAACCTGGAAAATGCTTAGTTAAGCCATAGTAAATAATTCATGCAACTTGGTTCTATCTTTTGGAGCTTTTGATAACTACAACAACTTCTGAAAGAGAAGTATAAGACAATCACAGTTCGTCAGCTCCCTGTATAATTAAAACAGAACCAATAAACAAGTCTAATGAATCATAATATTCTGCAGTTAGAAGGGACTATTAGGATCATCTAGTCCAGGGGTGTCAAACTCATGTAGTCATGGGAATATCACATGACGTATCATGACTTTTTCCCCCTTCTCAAAACCGGGCATGGGCATGGCCAATGCGTGTCAAATCCAGCCCTCAGGCCACATGTTTGACAGCCCTGATGTAGTTCAACCCTTTGAAACATGCAGGAAAATTATTCAAATCATCTTTGTGGCATTACATTTTTATCTGTCTTCAAGTTAGTGTTATTATTATTATTAAATGTATTTGTCATTCATCTTGTAATTTGAGGCTTGTTGAACCCCTCATGACTGCCTGAACAAATCCCTACACTTTTCTTGGCAAGGTTTTGCAGTAGATTGCCATGACATTCTTCCTAGAACTGAGAGTGAATCATTGGCCCAAGGTCATCCAGCTGGCTTCATACATAAAATGAGATTAGAACTCCTGGTCCCTGGTTTCTACTCTAATGCCTTAACTGCTAACCAAACCAGCTCCTGACATAACTGTCTTGACTGTCTCTCTCTTCTTAAAAACTTCCAGAGATGAAGAATCACCAATTATTGTTAGTAGTAATGTCAGAAAGTGTTTTCCTTACATTTAAGCAAAATCTAAGTAGCTGCATATTGTATCCATTATTTCTGATCCTAGTTTCTGAGGCATTGGGGACTAGTTCTTGATCATCTTCCCTATGACATTCTTTTATGTATCTGACATTATGTCTTCCCTCAGTCTTCTTTTTACATTTCAGGTTCCATCAGCTATTCTTAAAGGACATGCTTTTAAGTCCTTGCATCATCTTTGCAACCATCCTTAGAAAGTGTTCTAACTTGCCCCTACCACAGATTATACTGCTTTAAGTGTTATCTCATCAATGCACTAACTAAGCTGACTAAGTTGACAGATTTTTGCTAAACCAGTAAAACAATTAAAAATAGATGATCTCTGTTAAGGTATTGAGATTTAAGAGCTGACCAGTTGCTGCAAGGCTGATGCAATGAGAATGAATCAGCATTGGTATTGCCTTTTTAGATTAAGGATGGGTCCACAGAAATCTTTACCACTTTAAGAGGTATCTATATAACGGCAGCCATTAGAGAGTACGTTTTCTCTCCTTGTGTCCTATATCTATTGCAGAGTTCTCCATGTAGAGTTAAGAAGATTGATTGCTTATCAGCAAGCTTGATTGCCTACCATATATATTACAGTATATGTCTTGTATATAAACCACTGTTAAATGTCTAAGCCTCTGTGTGCTGTGTTTTGCTCCTGGGTTGTCTCATTATAGTAGTCACGCTGCAAACGTTCTGACAATCTCTTTGTCAGTCAAGGAAATGTTAAGTAAATTAAGTATCCCTCCTTTTTCCATATACCAGAATTGGAGCTGTAAATGGAATGAAACATCTTTTAGAGCTGTCATTTATTGTCTTGGTGAACAGGTCCAATGGAGGTCCTTCCCTGTGTCACTTACTGATATACAGTTGCTCTTTTCAGAGAATCTCTTCTGAGTGAAGTTCAGGATGCTTTAGCTGTTCATTATAGTTTCTACCTTTGATCAAGTTAACTAAACTGCTTTCATAAATGATCTTCATGACACTTCTGTCACATTAACTTTCTTTATTAAAGCTCCAGTCTGTGATTCTTAAAATAACTAGCATGCTGATTGATACATAGCCATCTTGAGTGAGAAGAAGATGAGTAGGAAGAAAGAGAACTTTAGTAGTACTAAATCAGTCTAAGTCTATTCATGCTGTTTATGATAAAAACCCAGGATACTTTTCAAATGTTCCCACTCTGAATGTTCTACAAGTATATCCACTATTTCTGAAGTGAAGCAGCTGTAACTGACTGCTAATTGTGTGAGTAACATGCCAGCTGATACTATATATACAAATCTTCAATTTTACCAGTGACCTTGAAAAAGCAAAGCCAAAATAAACAGCTTTCAATGGTGGGCCAGGAAAAGAATTATTTATTAGAGGTTAGCCTCATTATTCATACTACATACAAATATTTTATCAAAGGATGAGCTTTCTGAAACTTTACAAGGGTTAATGAGTTTTTAAAAGATATTGTTAAACTATGGAACTGTTGAACCACTTTCTGCTCACACAAGTCTTTAACAGCTCAGCTGGGCTACTGATATCTAGCAAAGTAAAAAATCCAAATATTCCTCCCAAGAATTCAAGAACTATTCAGTTTAGTAATATCCCAATTTCATAAATTAAGAGCAAAAAAGCTGACTACAGCACACTTAAATCTACAGGTAGTCCTCGCCTCATGACCACAATTGAGGCAGGAACTTTGGTCATAAGTCATTGTGATCATAAGTAGAGTTACCACATGACTGTGTGCATTTTTGGGGCTCCTGGGCCTGTGTAACAACACAGGAGGTTACAACACAGGAGGCTGATAGACACACAGCCAATAAATACTTCAGCCACACATGTTCTTATGAAAAAGCCAGCCAATCTGCAAACATCAACTCCATCCACCAATCAAGAAATGAGAACACAGCCAACCTCCCCACCAGTATATATAGGGAGACGGCAGCTCTGATCATGCTTTGCTTGCACAAGCATGAAGCCAAAAGCACCAGCCTGAAGATGGTGAGTAGGACCTTTTCGAAACATTGCCAAGATGCTCTCAATCTTACATGGAAAAAGACCCGAACATGCCAAGACCTGCATACCTGTGCCCGTGAAAATCTATGAAAACACACACACACACACACACACATATATGTTTACAACTGTAAATATACAACAGTGCTACCATTTTGGCATTACATTTACCATTCATACAAAGATATTGCTAAACCATTAATTTTCATATTATTGATATAATATTTGATTTTTGGTTTTATTTATCCTAGCTATTTTTGTTCCGACCTTCCCTTCTTTTTTGTAATCACTGATAAAACTTATTCCACATTTCATATTAAACTGATTCCCC